TCTGTTAGGATCTCGTTGTTTAAATATCCTGGCAACCACATTTCCTCGTTCATTATTTTCAAAATACACTTCATCTTTTTCTACCCTCTCCAAAAAGAAAAGCCACATTGCAGCTGTTTTAACCTTATGGACAGGAGCATAAATCTCAAGCGAATCTAGAATGTTGATGTTGAAAAATATCAAAATATCGGTTACAGTCTTCAAAGTGTAGATAAAATACCCATTGACTAGGTCCACTTCATGTGTAGAGATAATACGTCATGTCTGGTTTCAGCCTCATGGCTTTCTGTGCCTCCAGTGAGCATATTTTTCGATGTTGATTCAGGTCAATTTGGAGTATCACTCATAGATATTTCACCTGTTCCGATATTGTGTCTCTTCACCTCGTAGAATCAGAGGTCCTATGCTCCCTGTTTCCTTCTTCATCGGTTATCTACTCATAATATTCAGGACCTGCTGCATAGGCCAGTACTTGGTATCCATTATGGTCCAGAAGACATAGTAACTCGTCCGTTACAAAGTTCCCTAATACTGGTGATGGAACTCCTCTATGAAGATATTCCTTTGCTACTTGTGCCACTTCTTTATGCCTGCCTTGCTACGAATAGATCCACCCACTTTTGATCTAACCTAACCTACTTGTGCCACTACTATTTCTCCCATAATTGTCCCTTTGCGACATACAGTTAAGATTCATTTTCCAAGATATTCCAACGAGTCAGATGAAGTGCGATACTCTTTGTTTTTGATGTCCCCATAAAAAATCTAAAGGACTCAATTCGGGTGACCAAGAAAGACATTCAGAAATAGAAACCTTGTTTCTATTTCCAGCGATCTCGAAATCTGTCGTTTGAATAATCATTCACATTTCGAGAGTAATGTTCGCATCACTCACATGGTAATGTTTCAACATTACCATCTTGTTGAAACACAATCTCTTCTTCATGTGTGCAGGATCGTTCTCTATAATAATAGTAAGACCTGGAAAGATAGTAATTTGGAGTAATGCCAGGTACATATCACCTGTTCAATTTCCAGGAAGAAAAAATTGCCCTCTGGACAATTTTTTGTTCCTGGAAATTGTGGCGGGGTGAGTGGCGGGGGGTCACTGTCTCTCTCTTATGGGTGTTTGACAGTCCTCCGGTGCAGACCACACGGCACTCACCCAGTAAAGTTATCGGTCAACTACCCTATCCCGCATCTGCGGGCAACAGGCGTTGGCCGATTTCAAGCTAGATGTGTGGGAGAGGTGTCTCGCAAGAGCCCTCGGCGGTTACTCATCCAACGCTGGAAAGGTAGCTTTCCTAACATGAGTGCCCCTCGGGGTAACGTAAGGGTATGCGGTGCAGACCACACGGCGTACACCCAAAAGTNCGATGTGGAATGTATTTTATGGTTCAGTTCCTTGATTGTTGATTATTCACTGTACCTAGTGAACCATGCAGATTTTTATTTCTTGTGTTGTTGTCTATTGGTAATTTACGTAGTATCTCATTGGCAATGTAATCGTTTATAAAAGGCAGAAAGCTAATAAAAATGACTATGAATCAGATCAGAAGGTCTCTATAAAAAATAAATTGTGAAGCGATTCAAATCCAATGTGAGCGCCTTAAGGATTTTCCTGTAGTGCTTGTGTTCAGTCCTTAAAGAAAATTCTCCCAAACCTTAGGAAAATACCGCCATCTCCTGGGCTTATTGTGTTTTCATTTCCATTTTAACAATACTCCAGTTCCCTGCACTAGTTTGTCTCATGTTGAATGTTTGTCATATTCTTCTGTAAATGATGTAGGTTGTCCATAAACTACTACTTACTTTCTGTGATCCAGTGCTCCACATTCACATAAATTATGAAGAGCTATTTCTTTGTTGTATTGTCTGCATGTGAGGTCTCTGTTATACGAAGGTAACCTCTCAATTGGCAGTATCCAGTGAATTGTTCTGAGACGACTCCGGCTTTGTTGAAAGAATTTTTTAGTCCTCAACAGTTTTTCATAAAGGTTATCCCGTGTGTGTTTCCAGATATATTTTTTCAATACTCTCCATTTTTTTCGAAGACTAGCTTCTTCATCTGGTTGTGTACCAAAAATTTTGGTACCTCCACAGCTTGTCCATATATAGACCAAATGGAGTTGATGATCCGTAGCACATGTGATCTGCTCATTTTGTTAAGGCCTAGAATTAATATTCCTTGTGCATTGCAAGATTGCTTAGACCACGACCTCATTGCAAAGGAGGGTGTTGCAAGCAGCTTCATCGGACCAGAACCTGTCATTGGCATCGCTTTAGGCTTTGCCAAACAAAGATTGAACACCTGGATGCCAAGAAGATCTATGTACTTCTGGCAGAATCTTCCAGGATTGGCAACTCCAAGGTGGTTATTCACTCTTCGAAGCTTGATACCAAACAGTTGTTGGACTACAGTAGGGATGAACTACAATGTCTAACAGGCCTTCTTACAGGTCACTGTCATTTGAATCATCATATGCCGAGACTCTGACTGTCGGAAAACAGTCTCTGTTTGGAAAAATGATGGAACAGCAGAGCACATACTTTGTGCCTGCTCCGCTGGGAACCGAATCAGGTTTTTAGAGTTCGGCAGAGCCGTACTCTTACCATCCGACCTGAAAGACCACAAACCCAAACAAGCGAGTTTTTGTACCCTACTCAGTTTGTTAATGGCAGTTATTATTATAGTTCCAGTCAGTTGATATAAATGTTTTCTTTCTTTACAACAAACTAAGTTGTATTATTTGAATCACTTGAGAAACCCGAACCATTCATCTCTACTGAGCAAACCAGTGTTCTGTCTTTTTTTTAAAGTCAAAACACGATCCTTAAGGCACTCTCAGAGCGGTGCCTGTGCGAAACTACCGATTCACATTGGATTTGAATCGCTGAAGATTAAATCCATTTGAATAAACGTTCTTAGGAAGTTTATTCCACAAAAACCCGGTTCTCCGAATGAAAGAGTTTTTAAAAAAAGTGAAATTTGAAGTGTACTAAGTTGAACCTCAAAACGATAAGCAATCACAGTCCGTCGCGTATTTCTGATATGTACCGCTCTTGGTGGAATCAAATGTGCCAAGTGACTTGAACACCTCCCGTGACAGTATCTGTAGAAGAGAAACAAATCTCCAACCTCTTTTCGATGTTCCAGGCTATCAAGGTTGTACGTGATGTTCGCGTCTCCAATCAGGCGAATGACTCTTTTCTGGATGGAATCCAGCAACTTCAGGGTATGTTTGGGGACAGAGCTCCAATATGAGGACAATACTCCAAAGAAGGTCTGATTTAAGCTTTATAAAGCATCAAACGTTACTGAGGTATGTACAGTTTTCTGGTTCGGAACAGTGTTCCAAGATTTTGAGTGGCAGCCTTTGTAATTTCAGCGACATGATTGTGTCAAAACATATTGGTGTCCATTTCAACCCCCAACAAACTTATCAAAGCAGAAAGCGGAATTGTCTGACCTGACATTTTTATATTCGGTTAGGAGACATTTATCTTCTTGGAGAAAACCGATGCCTGAGTTTTTGTGGCTTTTAATTGAACCCTGGTTACTTTCACCCCAATTAGAAATCACTTCTAGATCCTCATTAAAGTATTATGCAACCTCCTGTTGCCGAGGGTGACATACGATAGATGGTCACCTGTTGATCTTTGTTTCCGAAAGTCATATTGATGATCGCTCAATATATTGAAGCCTTCTGAATATTTGAGGATATGGTGGTTTACGGCGATTGGTCTATTGTTATTTGTAAGATTTTTCTTGCCCTTGTCGGGAATAGGCTAAACGCGAGCATGCGAGTTTATTTGCGCCCTTTTTAAGTACGATGATGGGCACTTCATCAGGGTCAGACGCCTTGTTGATATTGAGCTGTTCCAAAATTCGCCTGACTAGACGGCATTGTAGATTCTAGTCTGGGAATAGTGGGTGGTACCTTTCCTAGTAGAACAACTGTGGAGTGGGACGCAAATTGTTCAGCTAGTAGATTTGCTTTTCCTATGGCGGTTGTTGCAATTGAACCATTCGCTTATGTTAGTGGTGGAATTGTGGATGTTGTAAAGTTCTGATAAACAGCTTTAGCTACCGACCAGAAGGATCTAGACCCGTTGGGACTGGCAAGCAGTTTATCCTAAAATACTGGCTTTTTGATAGAACACGGTGAATTTTCGTTATGGTCCACCTGCATTAAGAAACTTTTATGCAATACTGAGCAAGGAAAAGAGCCGCAGCACACACAAAACGTATAGACGAAAAAAAACCTAAAATCCACCGTACTATTTTTTGATTTCAAGTTCACAACAGCGATAATCCTCCTGCGACATGCTGCATGCGGCGGCAGGGGCTCTTATTTCTTCGTTTCGACCATAAGCGAAGAGCCAGAGTAAGAGTGGAGCGGAGTAGACTCGGTCGGATCGGTGTGAAAGGAAACTGAAAATAAATCCCCGATCGACTCGCCAACTCGCGACGGACGGTCAGTGGTAGCAGGACGGGCGATCGAGCGTGAACGATATCTTGAAAATAAGTTAGTTCCGAAGATTTGCTGGTGTTTGTTTTGTGAGAAAAATTTGCCGGATGCTCCACCTCTCGGCGAGGAATGCGGGATATTAACAGGTAAATTATGTCGTTTGATTTGGTTGGAGCCTGATTTTGTGTACTCGTATCTTAACTACTTTTCTTCTTAACTATTTTTATCGTGTTGGTGCAATAAGAGATATTTTAATATTAGTGTTGATTCCTGCAATTGGGTTGTGAAACAAGGAATAAATCAACTTTTTAAATGGTTTCATGTAGATATTGCATGTATTTTTTTTAATTTCTCTTTGACAGCAATATTCTACTTGATTCCGGAGATTCTTAAATGTCTGAGACGTGTAAGAAATTAACTTTGGAGGATATTTGAATATCAGATAGTGTGTGTTACTGAATAGTTCTGTTTATTTTGAAAATAAGGCTTGTTATTTGAAATGGATCTCCCGGAAATATACAGACTCATTTTTTTACTCACTTGATCTTAATATTTTTATTCCGAAAAAGCTAGAATCTACTAGGTCTGTTAAAGTTGTGTTTTTATAGGGGCAACAAAAATCATGAATATCGATGGTCGTTTTTGAAATAATCTAATAAAAATAATTGCTGGATTTTGTTCGAAGAGATTCTTTGAATAAACAGACGACAATCGATGTACCTACGTACTGTTATGAAAAAAATCTAATTTTCTGATGGTCAATTATAGAGTTCCTCAAGGGTCGCTCTCGAGCCTACTACGTTAATAATTTATGTAAATGTAATGTTGTATATAGTCCACTTATGACAAGTTGACTTAAGGGTCACACTAATAGGTGGTTCCACTTATGTCTCGCATGCGTTTACGCAGTTAATTTTATCAAGAACTCTTCTTGGTTCTTCATATTTTGTTACAGTCGAAAGGGTACGGGAAGAGATTTTCAACCTGAACAAAATCAAGATGGATTTCGTCAGATTTTGTTTCCAATCGAGGAATGCCTATCCGGTACTGATGATGCCTAACAGGCTGAAACATCTGTCTACCGGTGGCTCTTAAATTGATATCAAATTGGGAATGAACAGAATAGTACTTATTTATCTGGGCTGTCACAGAGAAAACTATTTGTTACATGTCAAACTTTCCTTCGTCAGGACAACTACAATAATAAGATAATATATTTTGTAAAAATATAACGTGAGAATAAAATATAAAATGACTTGAAAACGAACTGAAAGAAAATAACGAAATTTATAGAAATTTGACTGACAGTGTCAAGTGGGAAAATTCTGAATAATAGTTGATCATTTATTCTCTTTATCATATTTTATTAGGTATGTGTAAATTTTGCTGAGATTTCCAATGTCAGTTTTTTTAATCATTGAGTGTTTTTCTAAAAATTTCGTGTGCAGTCGCCCTTATGTGAAGTAATGCGACGACTGCGAAATCAAATGTTTGTCCTGTATATATGTTTCAGAATTTAGAACAATCCATACAAGAAATTTTGTATGCTAATTTGGATTTTTGTTTATTTGAAATTGGAACTTTCAGTTTACTATATGATTCAGATATAGTAGTGACATTCGTTTTGGGGATTTTGAAATCATTTTTTTGGAACACATTGATTAATTTTGGTGTTAATTCGTGAATGTATAGAGAAGGTATAACGTTGTTCAACTTCTTCATTTTTTTGAAAGTTTGTTTTATCACAAAATAAGATTCCCTTTACTGAAGATATATTCATAAGAATATTTTGCCAATATGGAACTCATTCAGAATTACATAACTATTACACAAGGAATAATCAGCATCTGACATTAACCTGTATATAGGCTCTATACATCATTTGGGTAGTAATCTCCTTGATTCAAACTTGCTCAATAAACTTCCAGATGAGCTGAAAAATGTAATTCATAAGAAACTTGGAAAACAGTCAAATATATCAACGAATATAGACTTTGTCACCTGTATTATTACAAGAATGGGTTGTCATCTAGGTAAATTTTGCTGCTGGTATTTTTGCTTTTGACCATACTTTTTCAATTATTTTAATTTTTTTTTAGTATTTATTCATTTGTGTCTTTTTTTTTCTGATAGTATTACTAGAATTGTGATAATTCCATTTCTCTTGTGACTTGCTGGAAATGTTTCCTACGTGAGGTAGTGGAAACAAATGTCTACATAACTTTCAGAAGAAACATTTTTTATTGTTCCATGTATACTTCTTATGTGGTATTTCGTACCATCATCAATTTTTTAAATAAAGACATCAAGACATGTATTTCATGTCGTTTCTGTTTTGAAAATCGCCATTAAATTAAATAACTACTTTTTTCAAAAATTGTCCATATTTTTTATTATTTCTACAGGAATACATATTGAAAAAAAAATCAATATTGAAAAAAATTGTAATATACTAACAAACGGGCGAAAACGAGAATCGAAATAGAATTTAGTATAAATTCTGAACATCAGCGTTGCTCAAAATTTTGCATTAAACGAAAAATCTAGAAGAGTGGGATCGGGTGATTATGGTGGTCATTTTAATACGACTATTATCAAAAACTTATTTTCGATTTTTCAGACAGACGACTTAAAAACATGTTGAAGTTGTTGTGCGTTTTAGTATCTTGAATGGTATTATTTATAATCAATGAAGAGAATGTTGGCATGTACACCTGGTTTACGTCCAAAAAACCTGCACTGACTATTCCGATTTTTCTTCTCCATGAGTTCAGATTTCACAGATATTCCTCTTAACGACACAGTTCAAGTAATGTATTCATTTCCCATGTTATTCTGCCATTGAAACAAAAATAAGGGGATCTGCAAATGTCCAGTAGGTCATAAAAGTGTTCTCCCCTATTTTTTATCGTTTCGGAAATATTCGAGGGTTCATCTTCAATGAAACTCAACGTCTATATTTTCAATTGTTAACAGGGAATACTCTCATATTTTGGGATAAAAATTTACTTGACGAAATCTTACAAATTATGTATCACACATGGTTAATTGATATTTGAAAAAACTGAAATATAATGTAGACGTAAAAATGTGTATACCTCTGAAATCTTCCAGTTGCAAGGGCTTTTGATGTTATTTCCAGATAGTGTCTAGATCAGAGGATGTTCAGAAGGAACGATTTTGTAATGAACTAACCTATAATGCGAAATTTCATAATTCTTGAAACTTCTTTTATCTTTCAGTCGTTACAAATATCGCGATTGAAGTTGTGAAATTTTTTTTCACCCCGTCACATTAACCGGAACCCAGTAATCCTTTCAGTCCTTGACTGACCTACACCAGCCTTCCGGATCCGGAAATACGTCTTGTTACTCAACCCAGTTTGAATCAACTTATAGTTAATCTACACCGGAAGGTCTGAATAGGCAGCGCTAAGCAACTAGTTGTATCGAAACCGAGTTATATACCGTATAAACCCGGAACAAAAGGCTGTCTAAGCTTTTGTCCATTGTTAAAAAACTGAATGCAAGCAATTTAAAAGTGATATTTGCATTTATAACGGTTTTGCATACATTTATTCCAATGTGATCGATTACTTAGGTAGAGGCTAAGCACAAGAATATTGCAATACGGGTAGATTGACTTTAGTCATTGAAATGCTAGAGTCATATTTCTCTCTCACCTCCATTTCCTTAGAATATATCAATTCATGGCGAAATCCAAACCATCCATTGGTATTTTCTTAGACCTCATGAAAGCATTCGACACTGTTGACCACCACATATTGCTGAACACATAAAATAAGTGGCGAAAAACTAATAACTCGTGGTGTACCCCAAGGAACGGTGTTGGGACCTATACTTTCCAATATTTATCTGAATAACCACTTCTTGATAAAAACTCATTCAACAATTATCAGTTTTGCAGATAGCACTGTAATGTTTTGTGGCGACAATAACTGGTTTGATTTGAAAATGAAACTCTAGCAATTCGATAACGGTTCTTCAGATGTGTAGAAAAAACTTTGACTACCCATGGCATTATATGCCTAGTCAGAAATCTCTGACCCGAGAGAGCTGTTCTTTATGAATTTAGCCATCGTACAATATAAGAATCTAATTTGATATGGTTACTCGTGTCATAACTATTCCACACGAAACAAACAAGCAATATAGGTTACCTTTTGTGAAAAAGTCAATAGGACAGAAGAACTCTTGTTATTCAAGGTCCAAAATATTCAAATTTCTGTCACAATACATAGCAAAATAAATAAAATTTCCATAACTTTGAAAGAAAACTAAAAATCTTATTCAGAAAAACACCACGGAAAGGAACAAGAAATATAATTGGGAACATATAGGTATTTTCTGTAAGTTTCATATTTACCTTAATGATTTTATTCTATAATTTTATTTTATGATTTTATCCTCAGCTGTATCTGTTAGTTTGAAAAGTATGTTTACATATACTAATCAATGTCTTTATGTTACTTAATGTTTCATTTCTCGTATTGACACACATTGTATCTTATATTATATATAGTTGTACTATTCAGAAGAATCCTTTTTAATTTTCGGGTATGCAGTCAAGAAGGGGATGGTAAAATAAGTGAACTCTTTTTTCTGTTGTATCTTTCGAGTCTTTATTGGCTCTTCATCAGGAACTCTACAATGAATTGATAAAATTGATTTAATATTGTTTGGCAAATTGTTAAAGGTGTGAAACTTATGAAAGTGAGGTTGGAAATCCCTTTCACTTGCCGAAATTTGTAAAAAAATAACATCACAAATGACAAACACTCTTGGTAAAAACAACATGAATATAAAAACTTCACATTATGTATTGATTGATTAAATTACTTGAAAAGACAATTTTTTATTAAATCATGGACTATCATGGAGAATATGATGGAGTCAAAGAGGAAGTGACAATTTTTTAAATTCTGAATTTAATTTTTTACAAATCTTGGCGAGTAAAAGGGATTACCAACCTCATTTTCGTAAGTTTCACACATTTTACAATTTGTCAAATCAATATTAAAATCAATTTTATCAATTCATTGTAGACTTCCTGATGAAGAGCCAATAAAGACTCGAAAGCTAGAACAGAAAAAAGTTCACATATTTTACCATCCCCTTGTTGACTG